AGAAAAAATAAATTGGCCCGGACCGGGCCAGAACCAGCCGGGCCGGTTCACCTTTTGAGGGGCCCGAGCCCGGCCCGGAACCCCAGCGGGTCGGGCCTACCCGGACCGGTCCCTGGCCGGGCCGCCGGTTTGGGCCGGTTCAAACAGTGACCGGGTTGGGCCGCCCGGCCCGAGTCCACCCCTAACTCTCACTATATGAGTGCATCATGACTACAGGGGCATCAATTTAGGGAGAAGAAAACTGATCGATTTAATAGAATAAAGTAGTAAACTATCTAATAATCTATTGTTTTAGTATATTTATGTATATATGTACTTCAGTTGCTTTTTCTCTAAAAAGTTTGCCTACTTTTTATCGTCATAGAAAGATCACTTTCTATATGTTCTTTCTATATGTGGTTGGTTGGATTCATGTTCCATGCATAACAGTCCACCACCATGAATCATGTACTTGTGAATATGGTGAAATTTATGCATTTTGAGAGAGTAAAGCTAAATGTCATGTATAGTCATGTGGTTGGTTAGCTTGATGCTTTGATGCCTAGCGTAGAATTGAATAAAACAAGGTATATATTTGAGCACCACATTCAGTCTCACACAAAATACTAACATATAGGGAGTATAGGACTAACTAGCCTAGGCACCATGCTTCACTTGTTTTGATCACCTAGTTTTTCTTCTTTTGACTTTACTCACACTCAATTATGCTTATGCTCCAACTAGCTCGCGTGAACGCTAAGCTATCACTCTCAAGAACACAGACTAATAAAATGTTTCTATAGAGAAATACATGGCCTAAGCTTAGCAAGACTAAAATTTTCTCTACTTCTTAGAGAAAAATGCTTCTCAATGACAATATGGAACCATTTATAATTTACATAGTATAATACTACTGAAACGATGGTTCCAATTATTTTAAAATTACTATTTCATGTATCCCTCTATTCTACATTAATCTTTGTTTATTCCTTTTCAATTTGTCCCTTAATTATTTTCTCTCTTTTTTAGGTAAAAATGTTCTTGTTATAATTCCACCTGAATCGACATTAAGTCGAACAACGATTTGAAAAAAAAGGATGACACCCCATCCCTGAGGGGGCCCCAACACCGACCGGACAGCACGATGGGAAGATGTAAATTGGACTATAATCACAATCTGACAGATAGAGAGTGGGGCTCTGTCCCCGGTACTTGCAGAAGCCCTATGCATTTTTCAGCATAGTAACCCCTCATCGCAGTTGCCGGGATTCGAACCCGAGACCTAACCCTTGTGGCACTCCCTCGCTACCAGTTGAGCTACGCCCACCGGTCGAACAACGATTTGAAGAGAGCATTTTTGGTCAAGACATCAATCGGGCCATAGTTTTTTCAATCAAAACATCGTCGCCGGGGAAGCAACAATAGTAGGATCTTGTTGTTGGTTTCTTCTTCAGTCCTAGCTAGCTGGTGGAGTGACACCCCTACTACTGTTTTATTGTTGTTTTTTATCATGAATTTAGAAGAATAAGTTTAAGTATGGATTCATTGAATACTTTTGTGTGTTGAAATTGTTTCCTTTTTGTTTTGTTGCATGTTGTTGCAATTTGTTTCATCGTGTTACATCCTGTTGCATTTTGTTGCTTTTTATTTTGTTTCTTTTTGTTGTATCGTATAGTTTTTTGTTGAATTGTGTTGTTTTATTGATATGTTTGTTAATTTGGCTTTCTGTTTATGTTTACTATTTAGGAGTAAAAACCAACACACACAAACAAACACTCATAATAATAATTTTTGATTTTTGAAAATGAACAAGAAACAAAAATAAATAATAAATAATTACAATTTAATAGACAAAAAATAAAAAGCAATCCCATGCAACAAGAAACAACAATAAAGTGGTGTGGTGATAATAATTACCTTTTGTTTCTATTTTAAGACTTAAAAATACAAAATTCCTATTTTTTTTTTTTACAATTTTATTCATTTCTTACAAATTTTCTTCATTTCATACATTTTATTTTTTAACATTTTGATTTTTGATATTTTATTTTCTATAGACTTTTTCAAATTTAATTTTCTGTACTCGGTTTAGTATTTTTCTTATATTCTTAGACTTTTAACAGCTTATTATAGTTTGCTCTTTGTTTTAATTAATTTTTTCTAAATTTAATTTACATTTGATATATTTATCCACATTTTTACATTTTTTCCTCTATATCATTTTTTCTTCAATTATTGACCCTTTTTTCAACTTTTGTTATTCCAATTATTTTTACTATTTAAAACTTTTATTTTAATATATATATATATATATGTATATTATTTAATACTTAAGATTTTAGATTATATATTGTATTTATATATTCTGTTTAACCTTTTTGCTAATTTTCATTGTCTTCCTAATTTACAGACTTTATAATCTTTCAATTTTGTATAACATTTTATTTTTGTGAAAATTTATAACATCTTTTCATTGAGAACAACTTTTCTAATAATAATAACAATAATAATTATTTATATTGCTTTTAATTGTTAGTTTTCAATAAGAGTAAAAAATGGAAGTACATGACCTGGGAGTTACGGAGTTTATGATCTCAATATTAATAAGGAAATGGGGTCCAGTGTTTTGAGTGTTTGAATTAACATGCGTGACCTGGGAGCAGAGTGTTTACACGTAGGTAGTGATGGACCCGGGCCGGGCTAAGGCCCGGTCGGGCCTCGGGTCTGGTAAAGGTAGGCCCGGGACCGGCCCGGGCAATGGCCGGTTCCGGTTCGGGCCGGGACACCCGCCCGGGTCACGGGTCGGGCCACCCGCCGGGCCGGGCCGGGCCAGTACTTTTTTTTTTAAATTAATTATATATTATACAAATTCCTATTAAAAACAAAGTTCAAGTGCATTTATTTGAAATAAGAACTACATTTGAGAATTGAGAAAAAAATAACAATACGAAATACATTTTCTAATGAATATCAATTGGGATTTCCGCCACCGTTGGTTGTTGTTTTCCCTTTGTCACAGGACTTCATATGTTTTATTGGCATCCCGTATCCGTGTGAACGCCCCAAGCAACACTCTTTCTTGCACCACCTGCAAGTTGCCCACCACAGTCCGGTCTTCAAGTCCTTCCACTTGTCAAAATTGTTTTGCATAAGGGAAGATGTACTTTCCATATTTAAAATGGTATATGTATAAGTAGGATTGTAGGAATGTAGGATAATAAGAGAAGATGAAGATGGAGAAGAGTTGTAGAAGAATTGGAGAAGAGGTGTAGAAAAATGTTAGAAAATAGATGTATTTATAGATGTTTTTGAACCCTACTCCCCACACCACCACCCCCGGGACCCCCCTGCCCCCCACCCATAGCCCCAACGGCTATATAGCCGTTTGGGAGGTTTGATTTCAATTATTTTTTAAGTTATACATATTGTAAAATAAATTAATTAATTTAATGAATTAAGTAAAACTAAAACTATTTGTACTTAGAAAAGTGGTTTGATTTATAATTTACAAATGTTACAAAATAGGTGTATAAGTATTTAAACAAATTACATATTGTAAATGTATTTTTAATTTAAAAACCGGCTTTATATTTTAGAAAAATAATTTTAAGTCGTTAGTTTGTAACCAATTAATTAATTTGAGAAGTGCTACATATGAAAAAGTGAACGCATATTTATTTGAAATATGAAGTACAAGTTTACAAATTAATTTGAAGTACAACTACAAATTTACAATTTTGAAATATGAAGTACAAGTTTACAATTTTGAAATATGAAGTACAAGTATAAATAAATTTGACAAGTGCTACAAAATACATTTTATAATAAATTCTAAAATACTAATCAATCGGAATCTCCGGCATAGGTAGAGCCACCATCGGTTAGTGAGTCATCCATAAAATCTTGGGAGGGGGTGATGCTCATTTCTTGAGTTCTACGTGCGGCCTTCAACCAATAGCCGGTTTGTGGGTCCTTCCATTTATCAAAATTATTTTTCATTAGTTCAGACTTACTTTTTTTATTACCGGTGGCGGTTTGGGATGAGGCAGGCACCCTCCTCCTCGGCCGTCCCCGGTTCCAATTCCTCCGCATCTTCATCCTCAAGCTCCTCTTCGTCAATGGTCGTCGTCATTTGTTGTTATTGTAGAAAGCGGTTATTATGTCGGGCCAATTCTTGTTGGAGTTGTTCTTCGGACATCGCATCTCCATCTCGCCTTTGGTAACCCGTTTCAAAATCATCTCGGCTTTGAGATGAAGAACCAGCAAGTTCTTTACCTTTGCGGGATTTCTTCCTCCCAATCTCGTTCCTTCGATTGCGTTGGAGGTTACCCAAATCAACCGAATATCTACCACCTTCCATCTTAAAAATGTAACAAATATTAATTGACAACAAATATAATAATGGATACAAAACCAATGCAACTAATTAAAACTATTTTAATTAATACTTCAAACTAATTTAGTGCAAAGTAGAATTAATGTGTGACTTTAAAATTAAAATTATAGAAACTTTTGAAGTACTTTAATTTAGTAAAAACTACTTAAATAAAATGTTAAGTACTTTAATTAAATGATTGAACTACTATTTCTTCCTACAAATATAAATTGAAAATAAGAAAATGTGACTTTAACTATAATGACAATTAACTAGTTTATTGAAGTAGAGTTGTTTTAACAATTAATGAGAATACTAATGAAGTAAATAACTAGTATAATGAAAAATGTAACAACAATGCTAATAAACTAGTTAACTAGTATAATGAAAAATGTAACAATAATGGTAATGAACTAATTAACTAGTAGTATAATGAAAAATGTAACAAGAATGCTAATTAACTAATTAACTAGTATAATACTACTTATAGTAAGTAATATATAATATAATGTTTATAGTATATAATATATAAGTATACTACTATAAGATGAGTAATACACTTATATTTTATACTTTAATATATAAAGTATATATTAAGTAGATGTAGAATGTATGTATTAAGTGGATATAATAATTGTATAAGAATTAAATATTAGAGTATAATGGAGAATTGGAGATTGGAAAATAAGAAAATAAGTATATATAAAATATAAGTAGAGAAGTAGATATTATTATGTATTAAGTATATAGTAATAGTTTATAAAGTATATTTAATACTTTATTATATAAAGTATATATTAAGTAGATGTAGTATGTATGTATGTATTAAGAGATATAAGTAGAGATTAAGTAGATAAGAAATATAAGTAACATAGTATATGTATTTATAAGTAGATAATTAATATATAAGTAGATATAATAATTGTATAAGTATTAAATAGTAAAATAAAATATAAAGGAGAATAAGAGAATTTGAGAAGATGAATATGGAGAATTGGAGATGAATAGAGAGTAGGATTTAGGTAGAGTTGGAGAAGAGGTGTGAAAAAATGTTTAAAATTAGAAGAATTGTTTTTTTTAAAAAAATAGGACCGTTAGGCCCGGGCCCGACCCGGGCCACCAAAACCAACACCCGAGCCCGGACCCGCCACCCCCCACCGGTTCGGTGCCCGAACCAGACCCGAGAACCGGGCCGGTTCCGGGCCCGTACAGTAACGGGCCGGGCGGCCTGAACCGGGTCCACCACTACACGTAGGGTCTCTAATTGAAAAGGAAACTTCAACTTGTTTATATTTGAAAAAACTTTCAAAAATGAAAAAACTGAAATTACCAATAGTCCAGTTGTGAAAAATTCCCAACTAATAATCCAACTTTTTAACAGTCTTCTTACAATAGTCCCACCTTTTCGTTATTCATGAATAATCCAACCTTTGCACCTCATCTTCATTCACTGGTCCCTAACCGGTTGATGACCTGCTATTCCAAGTTATTTTCTTATCTTTGCAAAATATTATTTTTGTGAAAGGTGAGATTTATGGTATAATTGTTTGCAAAGATAAGAAAATAATTTGGAATAGCAGGTCATCAACCGGTCAGAAACCAACGAATGAAGATGAGATGCAAAGGTTGATTTATTCTTGAATTACGAAAAGGTGGGACTGTTGTAAGAAGACTGCTAAAAGGTTGAATTATTAATTTCCATTTTCCTTTTTTAGAACTGGTCCGGGAACAAAACCGGACTTTATGCATATCTCATAATTTAATTTATGAGACCTAATGGAACAATATGTGCCATAAATACATTATATTTGTATTACATTATTTTTGTATTGAGATGAATATTTAGATGTATTGAGACTTGAGAGAATATTGGTCTGGGTGGTCTGAATAGGCTTCGGTCACGGAAAAGATGGAATGGGTGTATTGGTGCAGTTGATATAGAGAGCACGTAGAAGCTGTAATCAAACCACCTGCTGTTCAGCCAAGAGCCAAAGTAAGCAAGCCGTCTCAACGGAATTGGATGGACAACGAATTTTTGCCCCCAACCCGCCCGAAACAATCTTCCTATTTAACTCGCTCCCCACTCTACTCTCCTCTATATATTCATTCTTTTTACACAAGTTCTTTTCCCTCCCTAATCCACACGGAAAAGGGTAATTCAAAAAAAAATGCATGTAATTAGAAGAACATGAATGTGTATGAAAAACTAAGAAAATCTATTTCAGGTTGAATACACCAAATCACCCCCTCCCCCCTAATGATGTCTTGCATTTGCACTGCGAAATGTGACACCATGCAAAAATTTAGTGTACCCAAGCAGACCGAGTTTCCCATCATTCCTTATCCAATCTCTCAGGATTGTGTGGGCAGTGGGACCCACATTCAACTCCTGCATCATACAAAATTGAGCTGCTGCTCATCAGGGGAAGAGAACCACATAAGTGCGTGCTGGGGGAGAAAGAGAAAGAAATAATACCCTAGCCAATTCCTCTACAGAAATCACACGGTTTCCGTCCCGTTCAAAAATCTCAAAAGCGGTTGATGCGATTTGCTCCCAGCTGTCGAGGGCTTCAAGCTGGTAAGTGCTGATGGCAGCTGCACAGAACTCCTCAAAGTCCATCTTTCTATATGATAGTGGTGCCATCTGTATAAAGTCTATGCATGAGCGACTTCAAAAAGTCATGGCCCCAATATATATAATTCTTCTTTTAGGTACATCAGAAAGAGTGGCCACTACATACATGCATGATGCATTTATTGGTGTGTGGGTGGGTGCGATATTTGTATTTATCAATCATAACTTATAGCCTTCCGAGCAGGACTTGAGGTGCTTGGTTTAGTTTGGTTTGATAAATTACAATTCATAGAGTATTGACTTGCACCTCATGATCCAACCTAACCAGCATGGTCGGGACTGAGCCCCCAACCTAGGTATTGACTTGCACCTCAAAGGTGACCATTACACCATTAATTGGTATACCGTCCCCAAACAACGAGTCAGCCCTATTTGAAAGTTTATGTTTTGTCATAATGAAGTTCTATTTAAACAAACGAAGCTACTCATAATCATTACCGATGTTTTGTTATATTACCCAAACAATTATATTTGAAAACATATACTACCTTCTTCCCTTAAAACTTTGTCATCTTTGACTTTTCAAGTTAATGTTGATAAAGTTTGGACCATAATTTTGATTAGTATAAAATTATGAAAGTTACAAATTTTATACTTTTATGAAAGTACTTTTAATAAAGAACATTTTCATTTTTATATCATAAAAAATTTCCTGTAGAAATATATAATAATTGGCCAAAGTTGAACACAATTGACCAAAATTCAAAGACGGCAAAGTTTATTTCTTAAAATTGTACAATTATGATAATTTTGCGAGAAAAAAAAATGTATAAGATATGTATACCTTGAATAAACATGACTGATATGGAAAGAAGAAGCCCATTATTATCAATATTATTATTATTCATTATTATTACTAGTTTCCTAATGTGAGTTTCTTAAAGTATTAGTGTTAGATTCCTAAGATTATTCTTACTTGCAGTTTCCTATTAATAGCGATATTCTATTTTAATTAATTTCCTAATAAAAGTATTGTAATAGAATTATGGTTACTCTAATACTAGACCACCAAGACTCTTGGGATTAGTATAATACAGGTGTCATATTAATGTATAAGATCATCAATCTTCTGGTTAAATAATTCTTGTTGTGCGCTTTGGTGGAACCAATGAATACTTCATTTCCTAAGGTGGGAAGCTGTGTTGTTTTTCCAACGATCATACTTATCGTTCTTCTTCTTTTCATCTCCCAACAACGCCCGTAACAATTTGATATCAGAGGCATCTCCTTCCTGTTTGCTTTTTTTCTTTTTTCTAAAAAAGGGGGTGAACTCCAATCTAGCGTCTGGAAAAGAATGAAACAAAATCCTGTGCGGTTGAAGATCATGTGATGTTTTAGCAATCTGTTGCCTTCCTTCCAGAGAGCAAATTTCCAGGAGCCATCACGCCACAAACACCCGCTAATTTTCTCTAAAGTTATGTTTGTTATTTCTTTCTTCAAAAAAAAACAACGGTAGCGCACTAGCGCAGAGACTTAAAAGTTGAAGTACTCCTCCCACCTTACGTAAGGTTGGGTATTAGCTTTTCTTTTACAAAATTTCTGCACTATTATTTCTCTTAAAGAGAAAATGAAAAAAAATCCGGAAAAGAAGAAAATCAGAAAAATAAAAAATGAGCTCTCGGATTTGACGTGTCTAAGTTTTAAATTTATGTTGTCCCGCTGATGAGTACGATTTATATTGTGTCTTCACGGACAAATCAGTTCAATTGCTTCAAAACTGGATTTCTATGAGGACAAAAATATTCACGACAATTCTTGTTCTATGAGGATACATTACGAGGTTCCTGTTAAGGTTAGGGCGCACACACACACAAATCTGAAAACGAGAAAAGAACGAGAAGAAACGGCACACAGAAATTAACGTGGTTCAGCCAGTAAGTGTTACTGACCTAATCCACGGGGGCAACTAGGGTTTTCTTCTTTATTGAGATGATGAATGATACTGATAATAGTTTTACAAGTACAGGAGTCAATATATAGGCAAACAATTAGGGTAAAGCAATTAAATAAGGTTCTGGGCCTGACTGCCATCAAAGAAATAGGCCCAACTAGGGCTGCCTGTGCATTTAACTAGAGCAGGCTGCTGCTCTTTGTTTAAATGACTCCCAGGTCTGAGTGGGCCGAAGCCTACATCCCAACAATCTCCCACTTGGAGGCTTCGAAACACAATCAACTGCACTCCACTCCTCTGTACTTCTGTAAACTTCATCTGTGTTTAGCTTCTCCTAGTTGCCACCTGCCTTCTCAACATTATTCTTGAAGGCCAGCTGAAGTTACACAGAACTTCAGCTTGTCCAGCGTCACAGATTTAGTGAACATATCTGCTGGATTCTTTGCACCTGAGATAGTCTTCAAGTTCATCGTTCCTTCACTGATCAACCCTCTAACAAAGTGATATCTCATCCCAATGTGCTTCGTTTTCCCATGATACACTGGATTATTGGCAAGTTTCACTGCACTCTCATCATTGTTCTAAAACTCGTTAGGCGCTAGTCGGGCGGTAGAGGGGCGCCTAGCGCCTAGGCGGCCGACTAGGCTGATTTTTCGGCCGACTAGGCCGATTTTTTGGCCGACTAGACCGACTAGGACTCTACGGTTAGGGCCGCCTAGGCCGCCTAGGCCGATTAATCGGTCCGCCTAGGCCGATTTTTAGAACGATGACTCTCATTATCACAGTGTAATGAGTAATCTGCTTGCTTTTTGTCTAACTCTTCAAGAAAGTTTCTCAACCAAACCAGCTCTTTACTGGCTTCAGCAACTGCCATGTACTCTGCTTCGGTTGTTGAGAGAGCTACACTTTTCTGAAGTTTGGACATCCAACTAACTGCGGTTCCTCCCACAGTGAAAATGTACCCCGTAGTGCTTTTGAACGTCTCTTTGCATCCACCCAAATCAGCATCAGAATACCCTCTTAAAACTACGTCTTTACCTCGGAAACATAACCCCATCTTTGTAGTACCCTTCAAATACCTAAGTATCCATTTGGCTGCTTCCCAATGTTCTCTCCCCGATTTTGACATGAAGCGACTAACAACTCCGACTGCATAAGCTATATCTGGTCTCGTGCACACCATAGCATACATGAGGCTACCAACTGCAGATGCAAAAGGAACTTTAACCATTTCTGCGTTCTCTTCGTTTGTTCTCGGAGATTGGTCTTTGGTAAGCTTGAAGTGACTTCCCAAAGGCGTGTTTCTCGGTTTAGTCTTCTCACCATTCATATTGAATTTCTCCAACACTTTCCCAATGTACTTCTCCTGGGATAGTGTTAAAGAACCATTCTCCTTGTTTCGGACTATGCTCATTCCGAGTATTTGTTTGGCTGGACCCAAATCTTTCATTTCAAATTCTTGAGACATTTGCTTCTTTAACCTGCTGATCTCTTTCATATCTGCACCAGCTATCAACATATCATCTACATAGAGAAGTAGAATGATATATGAACTCTTGAACCTCTTTACGTAGCAGCAATGATCCATCTCACATCTTCTGTACCCTGTCCTTATCATGAAGTTATCAAACTTCAAATACCACTGTCTCGGAGCTTGTTTCAGACCATATAAGCTTCGTTTTAGTTTGCAGACCAGATTTTCTTTACCAGCAATCTGAAATCCTTCAGGCTGTGCCATATAGATATCCTTATCAAGGTCACCATGTAAAAATGCTGTCTTAACATCTAGTTGCTCTAGATGTAAGCCCTCTGCAGCTACAATGCTTAGAACCAATCTGATGGTGGTCATTCTAACCACTGGGGAAAATATCTCATTATAATCCATCCACTCCCTTTTTCTGCTGAAAACCTTTGACCACTAAACGGGCTTTGTACCGTTTAGACCCATCAGGCTCATCCTTGATTCTGAATACCCATTTATTTTGAAGTGCCTTCTTGCTTGGCGGAAGCTTAGTAAGAACCCATGTCTTGTTCTTGTGCAAGGCACCCATTTCTTCCTTCATAGCCTGCTCCCACTTAAACGAATCATTCTGCTTTACTGCTTCAAGATAACTTTCTGGTTCTCCGTTTTCAGTCAAAAGAAGGTAATTGACTGATGGACTGAATCTTTCTGGAGGTTTAGTGACTCTAGTGGATCTCCTGACCCACTGTGTTTCAACTGGCTGTGGCTGCATGGGTGAAGCTGCAGATTCATCTTCTGAATTGTCACTATCAACAGAATCTCCTTGATTATCCTCAAGCTCGTCAGTACTGGAATCATTCCCTATGCTCCCACTGCCTTGAGTATCTTCAGACTCTCTGTTTCTGATGACTTCATTTTCAAACTCAATTTGCTCTTTCTGAATCTTTGAGTTTGCCGTGCTTCTGTCTTTATAAAGTTCAGCCTCGTTGAATGTAGCATGCTTACTTCTGATTACCTTTCTGCTTTCACAGTCCCAAAGCCGGTAACCCATGCTGTCTCCCCCGTATCCAATGAAAGTGTATTTCTTGGCTTTAGCATCTAACTTGTCACCATCTTTCATAATATCATAAGCGCTGCAACCAAATATCTTTAAATGCCCATACCTGACAGCTTCTCCTTTCCATTCTTCCTCCGGTATCTTGAAACCTAATGGTACTGATGGCCCCCGGTTGATAAGATAAGCAGCAGTATTCACTGCATCAGCCCAGAACGTCTTTGGAAGCCCAGCATTGAGTCTCATACTCCTGGCCCTCTCATTCAAAGTTCTGTTCATCCTTTCTGCCACTCCGTTCTGTTGAGGAGTGCCTGGAACCATCTTTATCATCCGAATGCCATGTTCAACACAATAATCAATAAACTCTGTGCTAATGTATTCACCGCCATTGTCCGATTTCAAGCACTTTACCTTCAAATTAGTTTCCAATTCAACAGCAGTTTTCCACTTCTTAAACATATTGAAAACTTCAAACTTATTTTTAAGAAAGTAGACCCATACCTTGCGTGTTGAGTCGTCAATGAAGGTCACATAGTAGCTTGATCCTCCCAGGGAAGAGACTGTCGTCGGGCCAAACACATCCGTGTGAACTAGCTCCACCTTCTGAGTTTTCGGTGTCTGGCCTGTCTTCAAAAAAGAAACCTTCTTTTTCTTGCCAAGAACACAAGGTTCACAGAACTCAGAATTCACCTTTTTCAAATCTGGAAGTTTCCCCCTTGCAACGAGCATCTTCATTCCCTTTTCACTCATGTGGCCAAGCCGTTGATGCCACAAACTGGATGGATTCAGCCCGCAGGTCACTGCATTCATCTCATCATCAGGGGCTTCATTTATATATAAAGTACCCCTCTTTTTGCCTCTAGCGATTACAAGATTCCCCTTGACAACCTTCCATTGTCCTTCACCAAATGTAACATCAAATCCCTGATCATCCAACTGCCCAATAGAAATCAGCATCTTCTTAAGGCTTGGAATGACCCGAACGTCTTTCAATGTCCAAGTGGTGCCCAAAGAAGTCTTTAAGTCTATGTCACCCATCCCTGTGATGTCAAGAGAGTCGTTATTAGCCAAACGAACTTTACCAAAATTACCTGTCCGTAGATTCTTTATCATCTTTGTGCTGAAAGTAGCATGAAAAGATGCACCGGAATCCATAATCCACTACTCTGTTGAGTTTTCAACACAGCAAATAAGAGCATCATCTGAATCGTCAGTGGCTGCATTCACTTCCTTCCTTTCTGATGATTTAGGGCATTGATTTCTGAAATGCCCAGTTTCTTTGCAGTTCCAGCATTGAATATCTTTTCTCGGCTTTGATTGGCTCCTCTTTCTAGACTTTGATCTGCCTCTGCTATTTCCCTTCTCTTTCTTTCTACCTCTCCCTTCAGTGCTTAACAAAGCACTAGAAGATTCTCCAGAACTCCTCCTTATATCCTCTCCAAGGATAATGTCACGAATGCCCTCAAATGTGAGTTTAGAAGTTCCAGTTGAACCGCTAATGGCAGTGACTGTTCCTGACCAACTTTCTGGTAATGAGGATAACAAGAATAAAGCTTGGACTTCATCTTCAAACTTAATATCAACAGATAGCAAGCGGGATATGATAGTATTGAACTCGTTAATATGTGAGGTAACAGAAGTACCTTCTTTCATTCTGGTGTTTACTAGCTGTCTTATCAAAAATACCTTATTTGACGCCGATGGTTTCTCATACATGTTTGACAAAGCCTTCATCAAACCACATGCAGTAGTCTCCTTCAAGATGTTAAACGCCACACTCTTGGCTAGGGTAAATCTGATAACAGCCAAAGCTTTCCTGTCTAGAGCAGTCCATTCATCATCACTCATCTTTTCTGGTTTCTTTCCTGTCAAGGCTTGATCCAGATCCTTCTGACACAGCAAATCCTCAATTTGCATCTTCCACCATCCAAAATCTTGTCCATCAAACTTCTAGACTTTGGTTTTTCCGTCGTCTGCCATTGTCCCAAACCTTTACAATCTGCCAGCTGTGTTTTTCTGCGGCAGCACACTGTTGGCGGCACAAAGAGGCTATGGACGCAGGGCGGCAGCAGTGGTGGTGGTCAGATATGTGGTGGTGGCTAACCTCGCTCTGATACCAGTTGTTAAGGTTAGGGCGCACACACACACAAATCTGAAAACGAGAAAAGAACGAGAAGAAACGGCACACAGAAATTAACGTGGTTCAGCCAGTAAGTGTTACTGACCTAATCCACGGGGGCAATTAGGGTTTTCTTCTTTATTGAGATGATGAATGATACTGATAATAGTTTTACAAGTACAGGAGTCAATATATAGGCAAACAATTAGGGTAAAGCACTTAAATAAGGCCTGACTGCCATCAAAGAAATAGGCCCAACTAGGGCTGCCTGCGCATTTAACTAGAGCAGGCTGCTGCTCTTTGTTTAAATGACTCCCAGGTCTGAGTGGGCCGAAGCCTACAGCCCAACAGTTCCATCACCGGAAGATGAATTATCCCAACTTCGGAAAATAGCTACTCTAGATGAGTATATTAGCGAGTTTCAGTGTTTATTGGCACGCACAAAAGGCTTACCTTCACAGACTCAAGTGAACTTTGCAGAGTTCAACATGACATTCCGGCAATCAGTTTGGCAAAAGCTATTGAGTGAAGACTCACAATATGATTGTCTATCTCCGGAAACAACAGCCCCGATGGTGACATTGCTAGAAGCTCATCCACCAAAATGTCAAAAATTTCTGGTCGTCAACATCTCCACTGTTCCCACAACTGTTGTTGGATAAGCAGTTATTGTTATCCACACAGCCGCTAGTTTTGTCACTGCCAACACCGCAAGTTTGGTTGCAACAAGTCAATCTATCACTGTTAACTCTTGTCACCCGTGGAGCTAACACCACCAGTGTTGGCAAATTCATCCCTCCTGCACATTTACTGCCCACAACCAAGTTGCAAGAAATAATATGGACCTTTCTACCAAGAGGAGATTTTGATGAATCTGGCCAGATTTTAGGAAATTGGGTCATTACTCATAGTCATGCGGCTACAACCAACATGGTGATGATTGATTATATAATAATGCCATTTGATCGTGGAAAGATCGGTTGTCATGGGTTATTAGCTTCAAGCTTGAGGACAAGCATGATGTTCAAGAGGGGAGTAATGATATGGAAAGAAGAAGCCCATTATTACTATCATTATTATTATTCATTATTATTAATAATTGATTTCCTAAAGTAAGTTTCCTAAAGTATTAGTGTTAGTTCCCTAAGGTTATTATTAGTTTCAGTTTCCTATTAATAGAGACATTCTATTTTAGTTAATTTCCGAATAAAAGTATTTTAATAGACTTAGGGTTACTTAAATACTAGACCACCAAGACTCTTGGGATTACTATAAAGAGAGGTGCCATATTAATGAATAAGATAATCAATCTTCTGGAGAAATAATTCTTCTGGTGCGCTCGATGGAACCGGCAGACACTTCCCTGCCTAGGCCGGGAAGCTGTGTTGTTTTTCCAACTACCATACTTATAGTTCTTCTTTTCGTCTCCCAACAACACCCGTAACAGACTTTTTTTGACATTGTTAACGTTTGACAAGCAAAGGCAGGATTGGAGGGAATGCAATATTCATGTCCTAGGAGTACCCATGGACTAAACCTTCCTTGGCCCAGAAAGTAACCAATCATGTTGAACCCAGATGTAGTGTTTAATCAAATGAATCTTAATCCAAGTCAATGCAAGCGAAGCAGGGCAGCTGTGCATGTTAATATGACTTCCATTTAATTTACAAAAACAGGATGATGTTCGAAAATTAGGGCAAATACTCGAAAATGACTATGAAATCTCGACTGGCTGTGATCTCTTCTAATATCCCATTTAGCGCCTAAACTATCTTACTATATAAAGTAATTCATTAATCGAAATTTCAAAATTTTCCTAATCAACATTATACAAATTCCTACGTCCAGGTGCCACAACGAGATTAGGTGCATGAAGAAGGTTGTAACCAAAGGAATTATAACCAGATATACAGCTAAATAATACGTAGTACATGATATATAGAGGATCATTAATGGGTCAGTTTAATTAGTTTAAGGGCTAAATGAGACCCGCAATTTTGGACCGGAAACCGAACCGAAAAAACCCAACTGTGATTTGGGACCTGAAAATTGGGACCCGCAAAAAGCATGATTTGAATTTGGTTCACGTACTCAAAAAATCGGTTTGAGCTGAACTGAACTGAAATTTTAATTTAATAATAATATTGAGAATAATTATTAGTTATCATTATTATAGTACGGAGTAGTTTATCACACTATAGAATAAACTTTTAACAGTGTCAGTATTAAATAAAAACTGTAGAGATAATATATGAGAGGTTTGAACTTCAAATTATATGCAACAGCCATGTGGGTGAGATGAAAGCGGAGCGCGTATGTTTTCTTTAACGTCTCGGGTTCGATTCCCAGGGCATTTTTTTCCCAATAGTGGTTTATAAATACGTTATCCCACACTGGATGAAGAGAGGTGCTCCTTCAAGCTTTTTCTATATAAGCCTTCAAAGGCATTCAATATTCTTGCAGTTTACATACCAAACTACCATAATCACTGGTTGGGCTTGAAAATCTTACTGGTCAGGCTTGGTGTGATAAGGTTATGGGCTTAGACAGCTCAGACTGGTATTGCTTCAGCATTGGAGCGATGAGTATTACTTATTAATACATTTAATTTTTATAGACATTCGGTTTATAAGTTTTTGAGCTAACCAACCGGAAAATCGGTTACCAAAAAATTGGTACCCGTTCCACTAACATTTTGGGTAACCGATATGTCATTTCAGTCCTAAGTTGGAGTGTTGGACTGTATCAGTTTGGGACCCAAACCGAACCCAACCCTAGAATTCAGGATCGATTTTTTTGGTGAAATTGCTCATGTCAGTTCAGTCCTAAGTTGTACTATGTCCAGCTTGCAACTTGATTCCAAAAGCCTTCAAAATCATTTAATAGCATTCATGCTTAACAGGCAGACCACTAAAAGGGTATCCCGATGCACGAAGGCATCCCTGCAAGGCGAGATTCCAAGAAAGGGTCCCACCCACAAGGGTGTACAAGGGGAAAGCCTTCTCCTGTCAAATTTTTTACAATAGGCCTCTCCTAAGACTTGAACCCGTGACCTTTCGGTCACTCAGAAACACCTTAATCGGTATGCCAAGACTCCCCTTCTTCACAGGCAAACCACTAATAGCTAGAAAACCCAATTCAGTGGATATGAAAGAAGACAAACATCGTACCGTATTCAGAATCTCTGGGACTCTTGACTCTTTCATAGCGTCAGTAGCATTTCTCGAAAGAGCCTGCCATTAATTTCATTACAAAAAAAACATTTGCATCTTCAAAATGAAAGCAAAATTAAACATGAAAGATTTCACAAATGATTGCGTCAGTTGGGGAGGGGAGAATATTGGTTCCTTGAGGTAAACCAACTCTGGTACCACTTACTATTCTGAAGTTTTCAACAGAGATACACCCTTCTTTATTAGGTTCCAACAGCATAAACTGTGCCCTCAGGTAAACAAGTTCATCATCTGTTAATGCCCTCGATAGAGCCTGAAACCATGAACACATATTAACACAAATCACACCTAGTAATATACTCGTAATTATTCAGAGTTGCTCCGGTTCTCTTCTCTAAACAAGGAAACGAAACATACTACAATTATCTCAATATTTACAATTCTCAATAGACAAATAGTTCACGCTTTAAGAACTTTCTGAATCATTGTACAAATGTACATAATTTAGGTCAAGATGAAAAATCGGATAAAGGATATAGAGGCTATACAAGGGCGCATATTTTAATGGCTGTTCAGCAAAATTGATCATTTTTCTTTATTCAGTGAAATGGAATATGGAATTTGTGTTGAAGTTCAAATTTTCTCCAAATGGGAAGTTCAAGAGGATCCTCCATTTTTCAACTTTCTGCTAAGAAATTTGGCAAAAATATCCAATTGGAATATATGAGTGAATAGTTCTGTGTGCTCTAAGCAAGCCAGTTCAGTTTCTGTTTTTCAAATTTTTATTGGGGATGAAAAATTTTAGGAAATGCAGGTTGAGAGTGTTGAGAAAATTGTCGTAGTAAACCAAATATTTCTATTTGGTAAGGATTAACACTTTCTTTCTAGGATTAGTGGTACTCAGGGCCCCTTTACTTTTCTGTATAAGGCCCTTGCACTTTTGAAAAAATACCTCATGAACTAGCACTTGAGAATTTAATATCAAGATCAAAATAAAACAATGTGAATACTCTTTTTACAAAAAACTGCTAAAGAGGGTACCAAACAAGTAGTGCTCCCCTATGCCATTTCAAAGCTGTGAAATTGAAATGGGAAAAAAATGCATATACATATATGCACCGTACCTTTAATGCTGCACGTTTGAGAGGGGTGGCATTTAGATAGCTCTTGACCAATTTATAGACCAATATATCTAGAGGAATAGGATGGCTTTCACTCCGCAGCCACGGATGCACTGCAATTTTGAAATTGTAAAAGAACACACAACATCATTTATATAATCTAGTGACTTCCTCCTGTAGCCCTGTGGGAATAAACCACTGCTATATAAGTAATACTACCTCCATCCCATAATGTATGATATACTTGGGTTTGGCACAAATTTTAAGAAAATAAAGGAGAACGGTTGTGATTTTACCATTCTAACCTCAAAAAATAAGAAAAAGTAGGATGGGTCCACAAAATGTAAAAGGTGATATGATAGATAAAGGGATAAAGTGGGAAAGTAAAAGTTAGTGGGGTTTACTTTAGGAAAGTGATCATATTTTTGGGACAACCCAATAAGGAAAGTGTATCTTACAAAATGGGGCAGAGGGAGTATGCAATAAGTAAAGTTAGAGTTTGCTAGTTAAGACTTCTAACTGGCAAACTCTAATTTTAGTTATTGCATATTAATTTGAAAGAGACCTTGGTGCACCGGTTAAGGTGTTGTTGTGTGGCTGAGAGGTCACAGGTTCAAGTCATGGGAGCGGTCTCTTGTCAAAAATTGACAGGGGAAGGCTTGCTCCTTATACACCCTTGTGGTAGGACCCATCCCCGGACCCTCGCTTTGCGGGGATGCCTTCGTGCACCAGCTACCGTTTTTTTAGAGTTTGCTAGTTAAGACTTCACATTTCCTCCTGCTTCTTAAGGAGTTACCATATTCTTAACTTTGATCTAGGGAATTTACACGAGTAAAACCATTTTAACATTAATGGACCTAAAATGCAATAGCAAAAATCTGACAATAAGACAAAGTATAAAGAAAATCACACTACATGAGCTAATGTTGACTTACTCAAAGCTTGAGCAGCAGTCATTCTTTTCCTATAATCCTTGTTAAGAAGCCTTTTAACAAAGTCCTTGGCTTCTTGGGAGACAGAAGGCCATGGCAAATCTTCAAAGTTGGGGTCTGCTCGTAGGACTGCACGGAATATTCCAGATTCTGTCCTTGCCCAGAATGGTCTGCTTCCACATAACAGAATATAAGTTATCACTCCAATGCTCCATATATCTGCATCCAAACTGTACGATCTGTGGAGCACTTCTGGCGCCACATAATATGCACTTCCAACAATATCATTAAGTCTTTCATCTACAAAATTCCAAAATGCAAGGAGAAAACAAATTAAAATTCATGCAAAAAGTAGCTAAACATTCTTATGCCGTCAAACTTAGGGGGCATTTGGTTCTTTGCATGTAAAGTGTAGGGATACAATCATTTTACATGTAAAATTAAAATACATTGTTTGGAAAAGTATGTGATAAATTTTAAAAGTAGATGCAAAATAAATGCATTCTTTTAACTCAAACAACATATTCACACGTAGATGGAACTTAATCTATCATATCTGAAAGTAAAATTGATTGAGGCGGAATAATTTATTTTATTCTCAGATTGCCAGTTTAAATAGAATACACCACAACAACTAATTCCTAAAAATTAGGATCTAAGCTAAAACTATGCTAACAACTCTGACTAAGTACAATAGTTATCTAATTACAATTAAATAGATATGTACGGATAAATTTAAATATCTAACACTCCCCCTCAAGCTGGAGCAAAGATATCAATCATGCCCAGCTTGACTAAAATTTCTTCAAACATTTGCTTGAAGAGCCCTTTAGTTAGTACATCTGCTAGTTGCTCAGTTGTTGGCACATAAGGTATGCATATTTCTCCACCCTCGAGTTTTTCCTTGATAAAATTCCGATCAACTTCCACATGTTTAGTTCTGTCATGTTGCACTGGATTATGTGCTATGCTAATGGCAGACTTGTTATCACAATATAACCTCATGGGCTTTTCTAATGGCATCTTCAACTCGTTCAGCATGCGTCTTACCCATATGACTTCACAGATCCCTTGTGCCATTGCTCTAAATTCAGCTTCTGCACTACTCCTTGATACAACATGTTGTTTCTTGCTTCTCCACGTGACCAGGTTCCCCCATACAAAAGTACAATAAGCTGATGTAGATCTTCTATCAATACTACTGCCAGCATAGTCAGCATCTGTATACACCTCAACTTGTCTGTTTTGAGTTTTCCTGAACAAAATTCCTTTTCCAGGGCTACCTTTAAGATAGTGGATAATTCTGTAGACAGCTCTAACATGTTCTTCAGTTGGGTTATGCATGAACTGGCTGACTAAGCTTACTGCAAATGCTATGTCAGGTCTTGTGTGAGCTAAGTAGATAAGCTTCCCAACAAGTTGCTGATACTTAGTTTTGTCCACAACTTCCTCTTTTCCAGTTCTTCCAAATTTTTGATTTGGATCAATTGGAGTTGAGACAGGTTTACATCCAAGGAGACCTGTTTCTTTCAGCAAATCAAGTACATATTTCCTCTAAAAGATCATAATTCCTTTCTGGGATCTAGCGACTTCCATACCAAGAAAGTACTTGAGATTTCCTAAATCTTTTATCTCGAATTGTTGAGCTAGGAAATTCTTTAATGCTGCCAATTCTCCCTGATCATCTCCTGTCAATACTATGTCATCCACATATACAATTAGTACTGCCACTTTACCTTCTGCACTATGTTTGTAGAACAAAGTGTGATCTGATTGTGCTTGAGTGTACCCTCGCTTCTTTACAGTCTTTTCAAATCTTCCAAACCAGGCCCTAGGAGATTGTTTGAGTCCATATAAGGCCTTCTTCAGTTTGCACACCTTTCCTGCAGTAGTATTACTGTCAAATCCAGGTGGAACTTGCATAAATACTTCTTCTTCCAAGTCTCCGTTAAGAAACGCATTCTTAACATCTAGTTGTAGTAGTGGCCAATCCAAATTTGCAGCTAAAGAAAGAAGTATTCTGACAGTGTTGAGCTTTGCAACTGGAGCAAATGTCTCTTCATAATCTAGCCCATATGTTTGAGTAAACCCTCTAGCTACAAGTCTAGCTTTGTACCTTTCTATCGTACCATCAGAATTGTATTTGATGGTAAAAATCCATTTGCTATCAACCAGATGTTTGTTGGGTGGCAGTTTTGTCAATTCCCAAGTTTGGTTCTTTTCTAATGCCCTCATTTCTTCTAGAACAGCCTCTCTCCACTTTGGAATACTTAGAGCTTCATGTATCGTTTTAGGAGTTTCATCATCAGTAATGCTAGTGGTGAAGGCTTTAAACTTTGGTGATAGGTTATGATATGACACATAGTTACTGATTGGGTGTTTGGTACATTCTCTAACTCCTTTTCTAATGGCTATTGGCTCATTGAGATCACTTTGGTTAGGCACAAAAACTGACTCAGAGGTAGGATTTAAATTATTGTGATCAAAAACCTGATTTTTCTCAAGAGTTGGATGGAGAATAAGTGTATTACCTGGAGCAGGACTTGGGGTAGGGATTGGTTGTGCATCAGTGAGTTGTGGAATAACCTTTTTTCTCTCTTTCCTTCTTGAGTAAACACGAAGTTCAGTAGTTGGTGCCATGTTTCTCATAGTTGCAGACTCTTTATGAGGAGTAGAATTATTTGTTATGGTATGTTTATCATTGGCTAACTCAGTTTGGTCATTAAAAACAGGGAGAGGAAGTACATTGCATTTCCAAAACTTATCTTCATCATTTACTAAATGCTCCCCCTGAAGAGAAGTTTTATTAAAAAAGGCTGATTTTCAAAGAATGTGACATCCATACTAACAAACATTTTACCCGAGCTCACATCAAAACACTTATATCCTTTCTGAGTGTTTGAAACACCTAAAAATATGCATTTGATAGCTCTAGGATCCAATTTGCTGCGATTAATAGCATGATTATGAACAAAACTAGTGCACCCAAAAACCTTATGGGGTAATTCAGTAAAAATTTTATTATGAGGAAAGAATGTTTGTAGAGTTTTTAAAGGGGTTTGATAGCCTAGAATTTTGCTTGGCATCCTATTTATTAGATAAGCAGCATGAAGTAAGGCCTCTCCCCAAAAACGTTTTTGAACATTCATTGAAAACATAAGAGCTCGAGTAACTTCTAAAAGATGTCTATTTTTTCTTTCGGCAATTCCATTTTGTTGAGGTGTATCAACACAAGAACTATGGTGGATTATGCCTTGTTGGATCAAAAAATTTCCAAGAATTTTATTGAAATACTCTTTTCCATTATCAGTTCGAAGAACTTGGATTTGAGACTGAAACTGAGTTTGAATCATAGAATAAAACCTTTTAAATGTTTCAGCAGCTTCAGATTTTTCTTTAAGAAGATAAATCCAAGTTTTTCGTGTGTGATCATCTATAAATGTAATGAACCACCTTGCCCCAGAATAACTTTTGGCACGAGATGGTCCCCAAATGTCACTGTGAATTAAGGAGAATGGTTTGGATGGTTTATAGTTCACAGTGGGATAAACAGATCTCTTATGTTTAGCCAATTGGCAAATTTCACACTGAAAAACTTCAACATCTTTATTTTTGAATAATATAGGAAATAAATGTTTCAAATAACCAAAACTAGGATGGCCTAATCTATAATGCCATAACATTATTTCATTTTCTAAAGATAAGTAACTAGAGAAACATGGATTCTGAACTTGTTTACATTGAAGATTTTCTGAGGTAAAATAGTAGAGTCCACCACTTTCATGTGCACTACCAATCACCTTCCCCGAGCTGTGCTCCTGGAAAACACACCCAGAAGAAACAAATTTGACAAGGCAATTAGAATCACTGGTTATTTTGCTGACTGATAACAAATTACATGATAGATTAGGCACATGTAGGACATTTGTTAAAGTGAGTAAAGATGAGACAACAATAGAACCTTTTCCAGCTATTGCAGACAAGGAACCATCTGCAATTTTAACCTTTTGATGACCAGAACAAGGGAAATATGTGGAAAACATATATGAAGATCCAGTCATATGATCGGTGGCCCCTGAATCAATGATCCAAGGGTCGGATTTATCTAATTTAAGGTTAAACGCTGCTGCATATGTACCTTTTTGAACTAATGAAGATGAAGGATCAGATGGGCTTTGGTTCAGGTTACTAGCAAACTGATGTGTACTCAGGATACGACACAATTGATCTAAGTTTTCCTTGATGGATGAGTTGTCACTGGAGGATAGATACGCATTAGATTCTTCTGAAGAGACCTGGTAACCACCTCTGGAATTTCGCTGTGACCTATTTGTTGGTGCAAAGTTAGCTGGCTTGCCATATAACTTCCAACATTTAGCCTTGATATGCCCAATCTTGTGACAGTAGTCACAAACAGGTCTGTTCTCCTTCTTTTGAAATGGTTGAGGTGACAATTCTGGCTTCTCATCAGCTTTTGAAGCTTTTAAAGTGGCTAGCGCTATAGTTTCAGCATTTGATGAAATTTCAGCATCAAGCATCACATGCCTACGACTTTCTTCTCTCCTAACTTCTGCAAATGCTTCCCGAGTGCTGGGCAGTGGGTCTTTTCCAAGTACTCTACCTCGAACTTCATCAAGTTCCTTGTTTAGTCCAGCCAGAAAGTCAAAGACCCTCTCCTTCTGGATGGTCTTGTAATATAATGCACTATCTGCTGCGCATTTCCAGGTGTAGTTGCAAAACAGATCGTACTCTTGCCACAGAGTACTCAGTTCAGTGTAATACTGTGTGACACTCTTGTCTCCTTGTCGTGTTTTATTTAATTGATTCTTGATCTCAAATTGTTGACTGACATTTCCCAAGTCTGAATATGTTTCCTTGACGGCGGTCCAGATTTCATGTGCACTTGGAAGAAACAAGTAGGCACGACCAACATCTGAATCCATCGAATTCACAAGCCATGACATGATCATGGAGTTCTCAGCTTCCCATCGATCAAGTCCTTCCTCTCCTTCCTCCGGCTTGGCTGTGGATCCGGTGAGATATCCAAATTTCCCCCGTCCTTGAACGAACAATTTGACAGACTGAGACCATTGAAGGTAATTACTCCCATTTAATTTATGAGAAGTAATAGAAATATTCTGAAAAGAATCAGATTGAGATGTGGGATTTGCACCGCCAGTGTGACTAGACTCACTGGTTGAATCGGCGCTACCGGAAGGAGATTTCATGATTGATCAGCGGCTGAAAGAGTAGCGGCTGAGACAGATTAGTGGCTGAGAGATCAGCGGCTCTGATACCATGAAAGTAAAATTGATTGAGGCGGAATAATTTATTTTATTCTCAGATTGCCAGTTTAAATAGAATACACCACAACAACTAATTCCTAAAAATTAGGATCTAAGCTAAAACTATGCTAACAACTCTGACTAAGTACAATAGTTATCTAATTACAATTAAATAGATATGTACGGATAAATTTAAATATCTAACAATATCAAACATTATCATTGGGTTTGAAAGCAGCCAACTGGCAACGATGAAATCATGAAATCATGAAACGAGAGGCCAACATTTTTTTTTGCTCCAATACGTATATATTTGCGATTCTCTCATCCTAGATACGAGAGGAAAGTGATTAAAACTGTGAAGCCCACTTTTTTTTGCCGCCGATCGTAGAAAGATGGAGTCTGATGTATTTTATAATCCGTATTTAGAGTGTAAAACAGTTTACCACCCTCCCCCCATGTAAAATAATTTACATGGTACAGTGTAAATGTTTTTAAAAAAGTGTCCTACAGTTTACATCAAATTATTAAAACAAACGGTGTAAAATGTTTACTTCCCCACACTTCGCATGCAAAGTGATTACTTTGCATCATACCAAACGGGCCCTTAAAGCAAAAGGAATACTCCCTCCATCCCGCAAAATAGTTCCCAGTTTCCTTTTTGGGCCGTCCCAAAAAATAGTTCTCATTTCTCCTTTTGGAAACTTTTGTGTGGCTCACATTCATTTACCTTTTTCTTACACAATCACAACCATGCATTTCCACTTTATTCCCACTTTCTTAAACTCTGATCCAAGTCAATGCGGGAACAACTTTATGGGACGGAGGGAATATAAGATTCTGAACAGCGTTGAAATGCAAAGGTGTGGCTACAATTGCCAAAAAAACTGAAAATTTTGAATCAGTCTGCACAATCGTTTTTCCTGAGTAAATATTACTTCATAGATATCATACAAAAATGGGGAAAGACAAAAAGAGTGAAGTCTCTAGTAATACCTTCACAAAGAATTAAATCACAGTAGAAGTACAGCATACAATATTTGTAATAGGAAATGTGTTAATGGACAATGGTAAATGACTGATTTTAGTGACAATAAATATATTGTCGTGTAGTGCATACATGCCGCTACCTGGTCTAATGAAGTCAGAAAGACCAAAATCAATTAGCTTCATATCAGCATCTTCATTTCTAGACGTGAACAAAAAGTTCTGCAATAGAACCAATTGAAGATCATTAGTAACACATGGTACCCAGAGAGTGAAATTTGGTACATTCTGGTAAAAAATTGAAACTAATATTACATGTACACAACCTCAGGCTTCAAGTCGCGGTGAACAACTCCTTGTAGATGACAGAATGCAACTACACTCAGAATTTGTACAACAATAAGCTTTGCATCATCTTCCGGGTATCTACCACCCCTGTAAGGGAAAAGTGAACACTTTTTATTCAAAAAATATGAGGTAAGGGTCAGATTGGTACTCGAAGTTGCATAAAAAGGGTCAAATAAGTCCTTAATGTCCGACCGTCGCCATTTGAGGCGGTTCCCGATGGAATTTTTTGATGAATTTTTTTGAGCATCTTATTCATTAAGTCTAATTTACTCATACCAAATTTCAGCTAAAACTTCAATCGGGAAGGCATTCAAATGAATTCTTGAAGATAACTACGCTTTCAACTGCGCAGTTATCTTCAAGAATTCATTTGAATGCCTTCCCGGTTGAATTTTTAGCTGAAATTTGGTATGAGTGAACTAGACGTAATGAATAAGATGCTCAAAAAATTTCGTCAAAAAATTCCACCGGGAACCGCCCCAAATGACGACGGCCAGACAGAGCCTCCTATATAAGGACTTATTTGACCCATTTTATGCAACTTCGAGTACCAATCTAACCCTTACCTCCAAAAAATATTATGCAAATTATCACATGAAACATATCCAAACGCATTTCATTTACCGCGACAATATTCTGTCAAGTAATTCTCCTCCTTCACATAACCTGTGACATGCAAAAGAAAAAACTGATGAGCAAATTCTGCATACTACCTAATCACGAGAAAATGAATATCAATAAAAAGGATTATATGGGTGCACTGGATATGATGAAGCATATGCTACCAAATCATATACTTCCTTTGTTCCTATATATCATTTTATCTAAGTGTCTGTTTCTATCTTCACATACCCCCAAACTCTTTTGGGATTAAAGGTTGGATGTTGTTGTCTTTGTCTTCATAAACCAAAACACACATTTTAAGAAAATGCACTGCAGTGATAAATTAGTCAAAAAATTACTTTATGTGGATAATTTTCATAAAAGGAATAAAAAATTGTTAATCAAGATAGATATTAGGAATGTGCGGAGCAGATAATTATATATTTTTATGATGTGTATATCACAAAACATTCTACACACACAAATTAGTTAAACGAAATCAAAGGAAAGCATCATACTCTCCATTTACAATTTACACTGCAACCGAGTGGAAATAGAGCACACACGCAACCAAATCATATGAGAGGTTTGCGAAGTACAAGCAATATCAATGTGAGCAGAACAGGAACAGTTCATGGATAATAGAGAGGGGAAATGAAGTACATACTCCATGACAATGTAAACATTATTGGCATCCTCACAGGCATCATAAAATCTGACGAGATGTCTATGACCTGAGAGAGATTTTAAAATCCTTACTTCTCTACGAACATCTTCAATAGATATTGCTGTTGTCATCTGTGAAACAAATTGTGATGAAATTATGCTAACGAAAATAGATGTTAAGAGCTTAAGATGGGAAATGAAGCTAGTTAATACGATTTTGTAATACATAACTCTCAATATAAAAATACTATAGCAAGAACACTATCAAAGAGCTAAGTGAAGAAGAGATGGGCTGAATAACCGATCCGGTAATAGTCTGGTATTTCATCATTATATGAATCGTATATGTCTTCCATTACAAAATAATGCTCAGAAAAACAATTTCACAATTTCAGTCTGTGTGCCTTCCACAACAAGATCATGACAAAGATTGAAATTCATACTTACCATCACAATCTGTTTTTTTTTTTTGATAGCCATCACAATCTGTTTTTTAGATGTTTTAATTCCATACCAGAAGGAAAGATTCCCCTATAGTTGGTAAAGATTAAGAAATCTCAAATGACTTAAAATACTGATACTTTATACAGACAACATATTACAGTCTTCTAGGTGAGAACATTCTGCGGTCTGTCTCATGAAATCTATGAAGTAGATACTCACAAAAATCCAAATCTCTTTCCTAACCCCCCCCCCCCCCTCCCATGCCAATGGCGATGTGAATCATGGTCAAGGGAGCTAGCCCAAGAGACAAAGAGAGCACGTTTTAGCAAATACAAGTTAGTTGCTATTGAACACATTGATGTAATACACGTCTGGAATAACAAACTGCAAATTTAAACCAGTTCAATGGCAATATAATCATCTAAATGGTCTTTTAGGTGCAAAAGTTAGGTGGCTACAAATTTAATTTGTATCAAAGCAATATTACATATTATGATATTAACCTAACTTTCTTAGATCTGTACTGCTCCCTCAATCTCATTTTATTTCAAAAAAGGATACTCCATGCCAATGGTACACAATGGGGGGCAGAGGAAGGGCATGATCTCAGAAACATGTCCTTTCTTTTTGCAAGGAGAAGGATCCAAACCCTTGACCTTGTGTGTTATAAAGCCTCAACATTACATGTTTATTGATTTCTTATCATTTTCAAAACTAGTTTTAATGTGTGATTTAAACTTTAGTGTTGTTTTAATTATATCGGTTTCATCACTATATTAAGCTAACTATTTTACTTGAGTAAAGGTTCGCTGTTTGTTCTGTGTAAGTTTTACATTGAAGAAGAAAGACATCCATCATCATCATTACCCCAGTGCCACAAAGGCTCCCACCAACGGTGGGGTAAGGAGGGGTCGGATGTACGCAGCCTTACTTTTGTACTAAAGCACAGAGAGACCGTTTCTAGATAATCAAATTAATGATGAAGTTAACATTTTTAATTTTCCTGATCATGACATGCCTACTGCTACTTCTGATTTATCTAGTACCTCCAATAACATATCTAAGATTTTCTCTGGTTCTTTTCAGTATAATAGCATTTCTATTTCTCCTAAACATACTACTCAAAGAAAATCTTCTAAAGTAAGACCTGTACCTAGTTATCTTCAAGATTATCAATATAATCTTCCTGATTCTTTAAATTTTAATCACAAACCTTCATGTAATTTCATTAGATATCCCTCATCATCATCTTACTGATAGTAGACTACTAGACTTACAGCTATAAATGTTTTACTGCAAATGTTACTAAAATCAAAGAACAAAAAACATATAAACAACAACATCCAAGCCTTATTCACACAAGAATTTGGGGTCGACTAATATGAATCGATCCATGATACTAGAGCCAAAAAGAAAATAAAGATAAGAAAAATAAAAAGATAAGGTAAAGCTAAAATGGATAAGATAAAGATAAATATAAGATAAAAAAGACATAAGAATGATAAAAGATAAAAGTAACATAAGAACATAGAAAGATAAAGAAGAAAAAAGAAAAAAGAGAGAGAGACAGAGAGAGAGAGAGAGGAGAACTATAATATTTTCAGAATGGCATGAAGCTATGAAAACTAATAATAAAGCTCTTGAAGATAATAATACTTGGATTCTTGTTAATTTACCACTTAATCACCATACAGTAGGATGTAAATGGATTTTTAAAACTAAGCTAAAATCTGATGGAACTCTTGAAAGATATAAAGCTAGATTAGTTTCAAAAGGTTACATTCAAGAAGAAGCTTTAGATTATTTTGACACTTTCTCTCCTGTTATAAATTAACAACTGTTAGATTACTTCTTGCTATTGCCACTACAAAACATTGATTTTTACAAAAACTAGATATTAACAATGCCTTTTTACATGGAGATTTGTTAGAAACTATATATATGCAACCTCCAACAGGATATTTACCTCCAGTTCACTTTTCATTTAGCCGATAATCCAGTTCAACATCAAAGAACTAAACACATTGAACTAGATTATCATTTAATTAGAGAAAAATAACAACTGGTTTAATAGATCTTGTTTTAATTAAAAATGTTTTTCAACTTGCAGATATTTACACTAAAGCTTTGGGAAATCCACTCTTTGAAGAATTCACAGTCAAGATGAACCTATTAGATATCCATGCTCATCTTGAGGGGGGGTATTGCAAGCTTCTGAAGATGAAAGAATGAATTGAAAACTAAACTTGACCGGAAAGATACATACGGTAGTCTTAATAACATTGATTGCCAATTCTTAGTAAATTCAATGCACCGCTTTCCTAACAAATTTCAAAGTAGCTGATGGTTTCACTTTGCACTACCATAATGATTTTTTGCATTTGTCCTAAAAATTTGCATTTTATCCTCCTTTTCCACAATAGTAAGACCTGCAGGGGTTTCACAAAATTATATTGCAAACATCTCGTAGTGCAAAACTACAACTAGATCCCGCTTTTAACTAGAACTGTATTGTATAAAAATTCAAAGTTCTGGATATAATAATAAATAACTTATACCATTTATAATCGTGCTTGGTGTCAATGCCTATTCGATGTCACACTAAAGCTATAAGAGGTGTAAGGACATGGCAATTTTTCTCTGTCTTGGCAGGGCACCAGACAATCCTTGGTTGTCTGTGACTTTTCCTATTTGAGCACCATCTAAATCCATTTAGATCCTCTCTACCTGGCACCTAGAACTATTTACATCTTTGCAGGTAGGGGGCAATTTATTTGCACAGTTGGGATGGAAAGGCTCAGAGCTTCTTCAATACTCACCTATCGGATCATATTCCATTACCCCAGTCCCCATATGGTTTATTGTCACATATCTACAAAGAATGATATAGATTATAATTGATGAAAACAGTGTGTGCGTGTCTCATAAATGGCCCAAAAAGATCTATTAAAGGAGAACAAATGTGAAAGTTCCACATATCATTCCGTGTTTCAACAATCTTATTCAAATCAGACAAAAGAACGAAGGAAAATAGCATGTCCAAATGCTTATCTTTCATTTCAGTGATTGAGGGAACAGGATTTCCATGAGTTCTTAATCTATAGGCTGATTTATTTCTAGCAGTTTCTCTGGAATACTAACTAATTAACCAAATCCTAACAGCTGCAGGCTTCATATGCACAAGTGCATAACTTAAGAAACAGAAGGTATGAATAATCAACTCTATCTAAACTGTGTCATACTTTAGAACAAACCACATATACCTAACCTATTTATTGAATAACTAACCAGATAGTAATGGAGAGTTGACATTTGCAAAATCTAAAGAGAACAAAACAGAAACTTTGGTACTTTAGATAATAAAAAATCTAATAATAAATCGGTAAATAAATGGGGTGAATTATAAGTATTCAATGTGTGAAATATGAAGCTTCATGTGTATCCAACTCAATAAACAGATACTAACAATGCTCATTCTAAGCTAGGACGCATGATACTTTAGAACAAACTGCACATTCCAACCCTTATTGAATGATTTAAAGTGTTCTGACACTTGACAAATGTTGACTATTGTGAGTTATATATAAAATAAAATATAAATGCAGATCCGTGACCATCTAAACTCTAAAGCTCTACAAACAAAGTTACTGAACATATCAAAGTTCAAACTCAGACTAACAACTCCATTTACCGTTAACAGATGAAACGTGGGGTTGCTCAAACAGTATAATTAAGCAGGAAATGAATAATAACGGTGCTCCAAAATCTAGTCCATCCCATTTGTAAGTGAGATCCGAAGCATCAAATGCATAGTTGAGAAGTAATTAAAAAAAAACAGTACCTTTGCTTTGGAAATGATTTTGACGGCGAGAGGAAGGTCCTTGAGCTCTCCTTTCTTGCCACGGGCGTAGCAAGTATGGCCGAAATGCCCCCGCCCCACCTCTTTCCCCAATTCGTACTTGTAACCGAAGTTCCTGTTGTATCCGAAATTCTTATCCAGAGACTGATCGGGCTCGGAGGCACCATCCTCTGGGATCGGGCCTTCTCTTGGCGTCTTAGCATGTCCAAATCTCCTTGCAAGGGAAGCTTTAATGTGCTTAGCCGGAGAAGGCGGTGGAAACGGGCGCTTGAAGAACCGCCTAGGAGTGGACCTTGCAGGAGATGGCAAGGGACTGGCTCCCCCTGGTACACTACTCCCGTGCGGGTAAGGACTAGGCCAGGGGCTGGTCGCAGCCGAGGATCTCGCCGGCGTGTTCTTCACAGAGGGAGTGTTGGCCCCGGCATGGTCGACGGCGGACGAAGGCGGAGGACTCCGGGACGGCTGATCAGCGTACGATGTAATAGTGGTTGCGCCATCAACATCTCCCGTGGTGGGGATCGTCTTACCGGAACACTGTCCCATTACAGCAGCTCACGGTGGAAACTAATCCCCTTCCCACCCTCCCGCAGTTCAGCGCGTCCGCTCAAACTTTGAAGTGTACACACATCTCAGATAATTCACATTTGGCAATCGCCACTAGTCTCCCTGAGCTAACACAGAGAAGAACGGATGTGTTCTATGCTCCCTCGAGTTCTTAATCGAGTATTTGTGTTCCTTTGGGTTAAATTTTAAGGTTCTTATGAAAGGAAAGTTTTTAGCCGTTAGACTTTCCTATTATACCCTTAACAAAAATTAAAGGGGGATATTTATCGGGAGGAGACATTTTTTTACCTAAGAACATCTTCAATACTAGAATGTGACATGAGAGATAACCACATAAATATTACCAAATAAATTGTCGCTCTTCTTATTTGAGTGATTCTATACAGTTATGGTAAGTTTTTCTGTGCAATGTCAACTACAATGTCAACATTTAGACGATCTTCTTGATATTGTGGAGAAAAACTTATCAAAATGGTATAAAATCATTTATATAAGGAGAGAAATAATTTATTTATTAACACTTATGTCACATGTGCACCGTGCACATTGTAGCCTTGAAGATGCTCTAAGAAGCGCGATGTAAGAGGTGCAAGAGAGAGGCATAATGCGTCAGAGAGGAAAGTTCCTCCGAGTTCTTCAACATTTCAAACATTTCAACTACATATCTTTTGTAATGAAGCAAGTTGGAGAAAACCTCTATTCAAACAATCTTCTTTCACAATAAGGGTGTCCAAAGTAACTGGAGTAGTGAAGTGGGTATACTTCAAGGAAACTCAGTGAAAGGACCAGTCTTAAAGAAAGCAAGGAAGTGCATTCCAGAAGACATCTACACTTGAAGAAGGTGTGGAGAGCTTCTTAAGTGCTAGGACATAAGCGTTGTAATTGTTTCTTTACAAGCTTAGTGGAACAGTGGATTAGAGGAACACGTTGTTCCTTGAACCACTATAAAAATCTCTGTTGTCATTTTCTTACTACTTTTAATACTTGCATTTACTTTAAAACTACTTAACTCCAAAGACTTGGTCTCTGTGTTCAGCAAACCTGATCTTATGGGTTAACAGAAGGCCTACTGCCTTTGCATCTTTCTGAGGCTAACCGGACAGAACCCATACCAGAAGACCATCCGTTGCCAGTCTGTTCTTCAACAGAACAAGCTATTCTGTTAAACTTGGTACTTAGCTTGAAAAAATTAAAAACCGGAACAGTCTATTCACCCCCCCTAGACTGTTCCTTGTATAATCAGGACCAACAAGTGGTATCAGAGCCTCCTTGTTTTTGTAATCTCTTAGGTTACCTGTTGAACAAAGATCCACTTGTTTTTAGCATCTCTACTTACTCCTATTATGGATAACTCTCTTTCCAAGCACCTTATGTTTTCATATCTTAAGTTTGATGACTGGAGGATCCGGATGAAGGCACACCTGTGTGCGCTTCATGATGAGATGTGGGAAGTTCTTGACGTAGGACCTTTCACCAAATTCTACAAAGTGAATCCTGAACATGCTGCTCATAACACAGAGCCTGAGATGATTGTCAAATCCAGATCTGAATGGACAAAAGAAGAAAGAAGGCAGTACAATCTTGACAACATAGCCAAAGATATTCTCTACAAATCCATCGATAATAGATACTTCAACAGAATCAAGAAGTGCGAAACTGCCAAGGAAATATGGGATAAACTTGATCTCATAAGAGCTGGTGATGAACAAGAAAGATACAACAAGCTGACCATTGCCATGAAGAAGTTTGATGACTTCAAGCTCCTCCCTGATGAATGCATAGCTGATATGTATGCACGACTTCTGATCCTCACTGGTGAGATCTCTGAGCTAGGAAAGGAGCTCACTATCAAAGAAGTCAACCTCAAAGTACTCAGAGGACTGCCCCCATTATGGAAGATGAAAGTGGTTGCAGTTCAAGAAAGCAAAGATGTCAAAACTTACCCAACATACAGGCTCATCTCAGACCTCAAAGTTTATGAGTTCGAGATGCATGAAGAAAAAGAAGAAGTGCCAGAAGATAGGACCACCACAGCTCTCACAGCCAGCACTTCTAAGGTAAATAACTTTGACCCTTCAATTTTATTATCTGACGAATACATGGCTGCTTTTGCTAGAAGGTTTAAGAAGTTCATGAAGAAACCCAAAGATGGAAGAAGTCCATCTTCCAGCAGAAAGCCATTCCAGAAGACCAAGTCTTCAGAAAGTAGTGGAGAGCTCCTCTGCTACAACTGCAGGCAACCTGGACATTTCAAAGCCAACTGTCCACATCCAAGAGTGTCCAAGAAACAAGGACAAGATGGAGAGAAGAAATATGATGACAATGCCAGAAGAAGAAAGGCACTCATCACAGAACAATTTGAGAAGGACCCCCTCTTTGAGACAGAATCTAGTTCTGACTCATAATTAGATGAAGCCTTTGGTTGTCTTGCTGATGAAACAGAAGACCTATGCCTCATGGCACAATCAGATGATGAGGTATCTTCTACCTCTAACTCTCATTCTTCTTCGATAGGCACAGCTTTAAATGATGACTCGATGTTATCATTTTGGGAAGAGATTAGAACTATCCAAACCACTTATTCTTTAGTTAAAGAAGAAAACAGTAAGTTAAAAGTTGAAATCTCTGACTTGAGAAAAGAGATCGAGGTAAAACTCAATCTCTTAGTTGAGGAGAGAGATAAACTTGAAACTGAAAATGTTTCTCTTCTTAATAGAATAAGAGAAATTCAGCACTTTGAAGTCAGATTCAATAGCCTTCTGAAAATGCAATCATCTATAAAGGCTGTTGATACTGATCAAATGCTTAACCCTGTTTTTGGTCTTTAATTTGATCATATCCGGTGAGCCTTCTGTAAGGGCTAGCACTCAAGTTGCTAAGGCTGATAAAGTCATAGAGCCACAGAATTCTAGCCCCATTTGCCAAGCTAGTGTATCTGGCACTAAGGTTATTCATGAGAGAGTCAGACCAGAAAATAAAAAACTAAAGGCCAAACAAAAAACAAGTTTTGAAAACCAATGAACCAGTCAAAAACCCTCACAAAAGAAGAAGTTTTCAGAAAAATAATAATCAAAGGCAAACCTTTAACAGACACCCTCATTATAACTATGCTAGAAACGATCACTATAAAAGCAAATATCAAGAGAAAGTTAACTACAGGCAGAAGAGGTTGTCTGGTCAACTTCAGAAGCCCAAAGCTAACCGCCCCTCTGCTCTTGATAGCATATGGGACTTCTTTCCAACAAATAAGGCTATGCAAAAGTATGTAAACAGAAAGCATGAACCTCACAAGCATCTGCCCAAAGTGAATCACACTGTTGTTTACTACGACTACCAGGTGGACAATGGGTACCACCCACCAAGGTTTCTTTTGATGAGACCAAAGTGGTACCAACTGTCAAGACTACATCACCCCCTAGGACCAACCATTGCTTGGGTACCTAAATCTTCATTTTGATCTTACAGGAACTGTGTGCTGGAGCCATCCCAGAGCAAGAATGGTTTATTGATAGTGGATGCTCCAGGCACATGACAGGTGACAGAAGTTGCCTAACAGAGTTCCAGAAAAAGAATAGACCTAGAGTCACCTTTGGTGGACAAGATCAAGAAGGTCAAACAAAAGGAAAAGGGAAACTGATCAAGGACCAGATAATCATTGATGATATCTCATATGTCAAAGGTCTGAAATTTAACCTGCTTAGTGCTAGCCAGTTCTGTGACAAAGGCTACACAGTTGAATTCTCTAAGGACTTCTGTTACCAAGGAAGTGATTCTTACAGCAAGAAGGAAAATGAATATCTATGTTGTTGATTGGAACACATCAAAAGATGGAGTTTGCTTGATAGCCAAAAGAGATTCAAAACTAAGTTGGGATTGACACAAGAAGCTTAGTCACTTAAACTTCAAAACAATCAACAAATTGGCAAGAGAACACATTGTTGATGGACAACCAGACATGGTGTACAAGAAGGAGAACTTGTGCAGTGCATGCCAGAAAGGAAAACAGTGAAGAATTCTTTCAAACCCATTGCTGGAGATCTTTCTACTAGTCCTTTAAATATCATCTGTATGGATTTATTTGGATCAGTCGAGACTCTAAGTGTTGGTGGCAAAAGACACACTCTAGTCATGGTGGATGACTACTCAAGATACACTTGGACAATCTTCTTGACAAAGAAGAATGAAACACTTCAGAAGTTGCCATCTCTGTTGAAGCAACTACAAACTGAGAAGAACATGAAAGTCAGAACAATTCGATGTGACAAAGGAACTGAGTTTGCGAACAAAGTGATTAAAGACCTCTGTGATCAAAATGGAACATTTCACCAACTTTCTGCTGCCAGAACATCTCAACAGAATGGAGTAGCAGAAATAAGGAACAGAACACTTAAAGAAGATGCAAGGACTGTGATTGCTGAAGTTGGATTACCAATGAGATATTGGGCTGAAGCAATCAACACTGCATGCTACACCCAGAACAGAAGTATGATCCACAAGAATCGCCAGAAGACCCCTTATGAACTTTGGAAAGGAAGGAAACCCAACATCAACTACTCTCACATTTTTGGATGCAAATGCTACATTCTCAACAATGGGAAAGAGCATCTAAAAGTTTTTAAGAGAAAGCTGATGAAGGTGTATTTATAGGCTACTCTAGCACAAGCAAAGCCTATAGAGTACTCAATAGAAGGACTCTACATGTTGAAGGATCAATACACGTAAAGTTTGATGATCACACCTCTGTCGAAGACATAACAGAGACCCTGAAGGAAGTCAACCTTGAAGACAAGTCATCTGAACCAACAGAAGAGGCCACAGTTAATCCTGTGTTTCCATCACCTGCACCCAACCCTCTTCTGTCAAACAAAGATGAAGATGAAGAATCTGAAGATGAGCAACCAGAGATACCAAGACAACCACTGACAGAATCTGAGCTAACATGGTTAAGAGATCACCCTCCTAATCAAGTGATTGGTCAAATCACTAGTGGTGTTCAAACTAGATCATCCCTATCCAGAAGGGAAGCCATGTTCATCTGCTGCATATCACCGATGG